TTTGGGATGCTTGGCGAAATGGAATGAAATGTAGAATGCAGGCCTCTTATCAAGTCTATGGTAGACAGATTCACAATCGGTGTAGTAAATTATCAGTTGAAACCATGCAGTCTGCCTCGACAGCAGTCCGAGATAAATTTGTACTGATGTGCATGTTTAGTATGTGCGGAAAGTACAGGTGACTTGACCAAAAAGTTTGCGACCAAGATGCCATGATAGACAGATCTTGGTTCGCGTGAAGCATGTTTGAAAGGCCTGACTAGTGATCAAAGGTGAACTTATGACGAAGTCTACGCTCATAGTCGGAGCTGAAAATCATGACAACAATAATTGCCAACTGTTTTGAATAAATTCGCTAAGCCTACCCAATGTTGGGCACCTTAGAGGGGGGGATTGGTTGTCCAAAGTGAGTCGATCGAAGAGAGATCAAAGGACGAGGGACGAGTCGCAGTGATTGTTGTCTTTCTAGAGACCTTTAACGACAGAGAAGGGTAGATTTTAGTACCGTGACAGAGAAATGATGCCACAATGAACGGCAGGTTATCATCATGAATACACCCGTAGACATACACAATGGGGTATGCAAAAATGTACGAACACACACACAGACACATGAAATTGGCAACAGCACAGAAAATGGACAATCGGCCATCGTCTTGGCCAAAGGCGACCACTCTTTTAGGCCCCCTTTGAAGGCACATGAAAATTGTCCGAGTGTGATCGAGACATTAGCTCGAAGAGGCAACCTGAATACGTGAGGCTGGCGGTGAACTCAAAATAAGCACATGGCATCATCCGGCTTCTCGGAGAATTCGCGATTCATCTATCAGAGCCCGAATTGGGAAAAACCCGGTTCAAGGCAGGGAAGTAGAGTGGATGAATGCAAGGAGTGGGAATATGATCTGCATTTTTATGGATCAACCGCTCATCCAATCTCTATCTATCAATCAATCTATCTATCTATCTATCTATCTATCTATCTATCTATCTATCTATCTATCTATCTTTCTTTCTTT